AAAGGTGGAGGCAGCGTGCGGAGGCAGCGAAGCAGGCGTCTTAAGGGTCACGTAGGCGGATTCGGCTAACGACGACGGAGAGGTCGGCCATGGCTGACGGATGGTCTTGATTTCTGTGCGAGTTTCTTTGGCCGCCGTATGATTTTTTTTAATTGTGGAATTCATGTATGCAATAGGATAAAATTAATTCTATTTTTGTTTGTTAGTTTTGATATGTTATTGAATTGTTCATAGTGTTTCGTAGGCAAAATTGTTACTCATATGTTTAGTCTACGTGGTGTTGTCTTTGTGAATAGGTTAAACTTTGTTAATTTATGTTTGTAGTGTAATTTTCGATTCTTTCTGCTGTCTTATTCTACGTAAAAGTTAATATGTTTTGGGCTTAGCCCTCAGTTTGCTGTCTTTTTACACTTTCTCTTAGATAAATTCAGGTTTTGAAAGTATTATAGCGGGACACATCAGGTTCATTGCCAAAGCTGAGGAGAAGAGTTTCAATTTCTTCCAAATTCTGAAGAAAAGGACGAACTTTGAATGGAGTGTGGAGGCACATGTTGCTTTCGATAAATTGAAGGTATTTCTCGAACAACTACCATTGTTAAGTAATTTGTGGCCTGGTGACGACCTCATTTTATACATCTGCATTGGGAAAAAGATTCCTTTGTTTCTTGTGCTAATCTACACAGCCAGTTTCAGTTTTAAGTATGTTTACTCTAAAAGGTTGTAAGGAATCAGTGTTTAATACGTGATATGATATATTAGATTTGAGGTGTTTATTATTTGTGATTTGAAGTTCTGTTTGAGGTTATTACTAACATACCTTTTTTCCAGAAATAGAAAAAAGGGCGCTGAAAATCTGGCTTTGCGCGATTGCTGTACTCGACTAAAGGACACATCTTGAAGGATTTGGTTTCCCTAAATTCTGCGATTTTTGTTGTCCACGCAACCTTCAACATATTCTCGCATTTCATATTTTTTCCTTTTGCGAAGGCACAACAATGGACGATGAACCCTCGCGCGACCTCAAGAGTCTATGCAACGGCGACGCAATCGAACGACGGGTGCGGATCACTTTTTGGCTGGTTGTTAGATCCCGACTACATCAACGACGAGGCGGATCGAAGGAGTTCTTGGTGGTTTTTTGCTGCGAGGGGAAATATTATAATCTTCTGAATCCGGATTCTCTCAAACGGATCTCAAGCCTCTTCGACGGCATCTCATTCCTAATTTTAAGGTGAGTTATATGTAATTTGATTTTTTACTTTGATAATTTAGCCAAAAACTATTCATTCGTAGTTGAAATGGACGACCTTGCCGCCGCGGCTCGGGAAAAATTGGTCGGATGTTAGGAACGGTGAGTCATGTGGTTATATCTACTCAGATGACCTGTGGTTCATGGACGGTGAGTCTTCCCTCCTCCCACCCGCCTGTCCGCCCCATCTGTCTCTCAAAATATGTTTCTATTTTGCTGAAAGAAAAGGTCGAAATTTAGGTTTGAAAAAAAACACAAAGTATGGTTTTTCAGCCATTAAATTTAGGCAAAAAAATAAAAAAAAATTAAAGAAAAGTTCAATTTAACTTTTATTTTGATTGTTGCAATCGGTATAGTTGTTGATAAAGAAGTTTATTCAATGAGGCGTTGTATTATAGTGGAGAGAAATATTGTAATGGGTCTCCTTCTCTCAGGTTAACATTCTCGCTTATGCTACCGATACTACAATCTTACTGGAGCAAATTAACACAAACGAGAGTCTGTTGAAAAAGTACAAGAACTGGGACCGCTATCATGGTCAGTCATTGAGCAATTGTGCTGATCAGAAAGGCAAATCACCTTTGCGGAGTGAGGATGATCTATGGCTCGAACGACATTCTCACGCTTCTCAGGTGAGGACCGTGAGTTTCCCCTTAGGAAACTTATATACATTTTATCCTATGTTAACCTTATCAAACAACTTATCTATCTATGTGAATATTTCATATTGTTTTGGTCTGTAATCACATGTGTAATCATATGTGTAGTTGAATGAAATTGTTAATTTAATGGATGCTAAAGTGCGCAATTTGAATTCAGTTTCCAGCAAGCCGTAGTGTATTGGGGTAATTTATGAGTAAGGTTTTTAACAATTGTTGGGGTGAAAAGAAATAGGAAACGACATTAGGTAGCTTTTGTTATATGAAAATCAGTATTTTACAAATTTGGGTTTAGTTTAAGTGGTTAAAAAGATAGACTTCTCCTGGTGGATGAATACAAACAATAGAGAAGGATGTACGCCTTTACTATTGATGTTTTCTTATATAAGTTTAACGATGTGTTTTTACATGTTTGTCTGATTGGTTGCATGTTGGCTTGAATCTCCACCACGATCTATTTTCAAGAAACTACAAATATGAAAGCTCATAGCTTCTTTTTTTTTTTTGGTTTTCCGTCTACACCAGAAATGGTTTTCAATGTTTACCTTCTGATACTACTTTTGTGTGTTTGAGCGGAAAATACATTATCATAAACACACTGTAAGTTCTTGTTCTAGCCCAATTTCATTCATGCCATTTCTCATATGAAATTCGTACGTCAGATTATGTGCTATTGTTGGAGAAAGTAACGTGTATTTCTAAAAGTGAAGTGTCGGATATGGACCGATGGTGTAATGTGTAGTATGTTTTAAACTTGAGTTTCAGTTAAGTTTTTTAAGTCACAACCAATTTAAGCTAGATAATGGTGTACTTAAATATAAATATTGAGATTGTATATAAATATCGTGATTTCATTGTTGTTCATATCAGATGGAGAAACACCTCATCAAAAAGTTTATTTGTTCCTTTCTAACGATGTCTATGATATTAATCCTCCCCAAGATCAGCGATGCTTTATGACTTAATTGGCATCAATAGTCACTTAATGAGCAATATCTTGAGTGAACTATCAACTAATTGTAAATTCTTATCTACAACATTTATTTGTGTTTTCCATGTGTCCCAAACAGGTCTAAATTTTTCACCATTTATTCTTGTTTTGTTCTTTTCTTTGTTTTTTTTGTGTTTATTTTTTAGCTTGATAGTTCGAGTACTGTTCTAATGATTAATCCTTTTTTTTAAAGAAATAAACGATACCTTTTGATTTACATATATTTTTTTTATTCACGGATTTAGAACCATTAGCATCCGAGGGCTACTTAAGGAGAATGAATGCGCAGGCAATTTCAAACTTCGACGTACTTGATAATTTATGTACTCTAACATTGTTATGTTCTAAATTTTGATGAAGAGTGCGCTATGGAGTTTCACACTTGCACCGTTCCTTGGAGCAACCTCAGGCTTTATGGTGTTAGCAGATATAGATTTGATTAAGTTTTGATTAACCATAGCTAATTTGAAAAAGCGGTTGGATTATGAGGGAGCTATGCATAATTTACAAGTTTTTTCTCGATTATGTTCGATTTCATTGGTTGTGTTAGAGCTCTGTTGTTTTGTCGCATTATAGGATCTATAAGGGTAAATTTATTTGGTGATTCATAATGTATTGTCAATCTAACCGACTTTAGAATAGCAAAGCATGTAAAGGAATTCGTCTTTAAAAGAAATATTATCATGTGTTGTACTGGTATATTTTATGAGTCTCACTCCATATTTTAAATTTACTTCAATTATTATTTTGTTCATGCTTTTAACTTAATAAATGTTGATTATTTTTAACCACATGCTTTTAATTTAATAAATGACGATCATTTTAAGCAATAGAAGTTATATATGATTTTTCTTTATAACATACAATAATAGTTTTTTTTTTTTTTTTTTNNTTTTTTTTTTTAACAAAAAATATATTATTCTCACATTTGTTAAATAAAATAAAAAAATACAACCTAAATTATTATTTCTGTACAAAAAATATATTATTCTCACATTTGTTTATTAAAAGAAAAAAATACAACCTTAAATTTGGACCGGCTGTGCATGCACAATCGTAACCCGACTAGTTTTCCATATATGAAAAGGCATTCTCATTAAATTGCAAACTCGGTTTGGCTCCGATATACAACGTGGTTCTCATCATAATATTAAGCCTCCAATCTCATCTCATGGCCGTGAGTAGAGCTATAAATGAATCGAATGCTCGTGAATAAAAACTTGTTCGAGCTCGACAAAAACTCGTTCGTTTGTTAATTGAGTTGAGCTCAAACATAAAATTAGACTTGTTTAGGAATCGAACGAACATGAGCTCGTTCGCGTTCGATAATGTTCGCGAACATTAATTTAATATGATTATGTTTTATTCTTTATATATTTACATAATATTTTTAATAAAAAATTTAAAATATAAAAATATTTTTATTTTAATTTTTGTTTTTCGAGTTCGAACGTGTTCGAACGAACATACTTAAAAATTATTTGTTTTAAGTTATTCGAACACGAACGAACTCGAACTTTGACGAACAAATAAACGAACGAGCTCGAATATGATTTTTTGCTTGAAAAATAAATGAACAAACACGAACACGAGCTCGAACAGCCCAAACTCGATTCGATTCGATTTGTTTACCGCACTAGCCGTGGGATCTGCAATGAGGAAGTGCTTTGAATTGTGAACGCTAAACAAAATAAAGTGAAAGTCGGTGGTTCTCTACTAGCAATTACCGTCTAATGTGGTACAATTTGTAAACCTGCGCAGCTCGCTCCCCCGCGCACACTAGCATCATAATACCCCCACAACTCAAAAATAATTAAAAAAATAAAAATAAAAATAAAAAAACTCCGAACGTTAGGATGAAACCCGCTAATGTATAAAGACCGAAATACCCCTTGCACCACCGTATATAAGGGCTCTCAGCTTCCCCTTCCCGGCGATTCTCCCATAATTAACACCACAAAAGCACAGCCAACAAACCCTTTCCTTCTCCGATTCAAAAAATTCTCCGCCCCCATTGATTTTTTCTACCTCGAGAAAATAACGCAGAAACACCTCCCGAGTGTGTGTGTGTGTGTGTGTGTGTGTATGAGAGGGTATGGCCATGGGGACTGAGAGATCGAAGCCGCTGCACAATTTCACGCTGCCCTGCGATCTCCGGTGGGGGAATCAGCGGTTCCTCCGCTGCATGAAGGTCAACTCCGGCGGACAAATCTCGCCCAACCGCCGTCGCGCCGACGGAAACAGCTCCGGCTCCTCCGATCACCACAACCACCACCTTCCGATCCAGCAGCGCCGCGCGGCCGGGGATCGAGGGAGGGAGAGGGACGGAGATTCTTCTTCCCGGTGGTTCGCGGGCGGATCTTCTCGGAGATTCGGATACGACGACGGCGGCGGGATCGCCGCCACGAGGGAGAAAGTGATGCTCGATCTGCAGACGGCGGCGGATAAGATGAGAAGCGCTTTTTTCAAGGACGGCGGCGGCCTCGAGGAGGGAGAGGTCTCCGTCTCCGTCCCCCGGCCGCTCCCGCCTCCGCCGCCCGCCGCGTCGGCGGACGGAGAGGTTCACCGGCCGTGGAACCTGAGGACCAGGCGCGCCGCTGGAAGGACGCCGACGAACGGGTGCACCGCTGCCGCCGGCGTCAGGGGTTTGAGAGTGGAC